ATCAATAAAAAAATAAAAGTAATTATTCATAAATAAAAAATTTTAATGTTGCATTAATTTACTGGCAAGGGCAACCCAATTACATAAATGTAATGTCAACGGCGGTACAATTACGTTAATTAACTTTCCTTGACAGTATAATTAGGTTAATTTACCGTCAGGGACAGCACAATTACGGTCAACGTTTAGCGGCGGACGTGGAAAAACAAAACAAACCAAACAAAACAAAACAAAAAACTTAAAAAAACACTAAAAAAAGAGACCGCCGGAAACCGGCGAAAAAATCCGGAAGAAAAGAAAAGAAAAAAAAAAGAAAAAAGCAAAAAAAAAAAAAAAAAAAAAAAAAAAAAGTCAACGCCGGAGACCGGCGTTGACCGCCGGTCAACGCTGGAAACCGGCGAAAAAATCCGGAAGAAAGAAAAAAAAAAAAAAAAAAATTTAAAAAAGTCAACGCCGGAATCCGGCGGCAAAAAAAAAGTTTTTGAAAAAAAAAAATTTTTGGGTCAAAATTTAATAATTTGTGAAATTTGGGGTCAAATTGAGATTAAATTAAGTTAAGGATGAAATTGGAGCATATTAAATTATACTCCAAAAAAAGTCAAAATTGAATTTTTGTGGTCAAAATTGAACTTTTATGGACAAAATTGATTAATTTGGATTACAATTAAGAATTGGGTATAAATGGTTGAGGGTAATATTGGGATATACATGAATGTTTCCTTTAGTTATAATAAATATTAAAGGGATGGGCTTATTGGTAAAAGAGATATGTCCCCTAAACCTAGAATAATAAACATGCTTGGTTGGGGACTTTTGCATAAAAATCCCATCTTATATTGACAAATATTATTTTTGGCAACCAAAATATCGAAGCCTCAATATATATGTAGGCTTGATTCGAATTAAAACAACCCGCTTTCATCAGTAATTGGGCTCTTATATTGGGCCTTTCTACTTATTGGGCTCACTACTAATAAATGTCATAAGAAAATCTTATTTAATTTAATTAGATATAATTCGGTTTCATTCAAACTTAGTTCGAATCACTCTGCCAACAACTTGCTTATAGGTAGAGTTCGTCGCACATAGGCAATGTGATATGATTATATTTTGTTTGCGCAACTTCCTAGTTAAATGGTCACTTGTCAATAGAAGCAAGATTTTTATTACATAGTCCAACTAAATGTTTGTTTCACATTTTTTATAAAATGCATTCCAAAACCTGGCAACCAACAACTCTCATCCGCCGTCAAATCATATCTTTCAAAACCTAGCTGTCCACAAACCCTAGTCACTAACCAAAATAAACCCTCCCTACGTCAAAGAACCCCAGGTTGATGTGGTCGCCTCCCACCGTCGATTTTACTAATTACTGTTATGCCCCCCAAATAGCATCATGTGAAGGCAGCGACTATTTGCAAGACGAAATTTACTTAGTGCAAGACCAATTTAATTTTTTTTTATTAAATTCAGTATAAAAAGACTATAATAACCTTAATAAAATACAAAAAAAAAATTATTTAATTAATTTTCTTTTGCAAGACCAATTTAAAAAAAAATTAATAAAACAAAAAGAAAAAAGAAATTGAATTGGCAAAATCAAAACGAGGAGGGAAGATTGAAGAAAACAAAATAAATCAATTGCAGCAAAAAACCGTTCGTCGCCCCGTCGCCCGCCGCCCCGTCGCCGTCGCCGTTGAAGTCCACCGCCGTCGCCCGTCGCCGTTGAACTCCGTTGTTGCCCCAACCCCGCCGCAACAATCTCACTAAAAACAAGTAAAAATTACTTTTTGAATTAACTTTTTTTTGAGAAATAAATGTGATAAACATGATTTTATTGTTAGAATAATGAATTCAAGTCGTTTTTGAACATAGTTGATGATTCTAGGGTTCGATTGTAGCACTATTGTTGAAGGAGTTGCGGTTTTACAAAAATCGACCTGTACTTGTCGTTTTTTTGGAAAATTTTCGACACACAATTGTAACAGTGATAATTCGACACACTAGCGTCGAAATATCCGCTTAATATCGACACCAGAATGTCGATAATTTCAATATAATTCGACAGTTAATGAGTGTCGAATTATTTTGACATTTTCGACACTGCAGTGTCGATATAAAGCTGATATTTCGACCTGTACATGTCGATTTTTTTGTACGTGAAATGAGGTGCAAAAAACGAGAAAAACGATCACAAAGTACAATATTTCTTACCTCTTTGTGTTCTTCGACCTTAGAATCCTCCATATTTATGTCTTGTGTATCCATAATGTCCTTCTTTTCAAGTTTTAGTAAGATTTGAGGGTTTTATGTGATAAGGGTTTTGGAGAATATGGAAGATTTTTTTGTGGAAAAAAATGTGTAAAATGAGGGTGAAGAAGAAGATGTTGGTGTTTTGTTGGGTGAGTGAGTTCCCTCTCTTTTTTCTTTTTTTTTTTATTCTTTTTTTTGTATTTTTTTTTGGTCTTGCAATAGCAATTAACTTAATTTAAATTAATAATATCTAAATTATTATTGGGGTTATATTTGTAATTTCCAGTCTTGATCTTAGTAAATTTATTTATATTTTGGTCTTGCATGAAGTAAGGTCTTGCACTTAGTAATTTTCGTCTTGCAAATATCTGCAGCCTCATGTGAATCGTGAATATAAATTATTTTTGTCCTAATCCCATTGACACCCTTGGAATGTAGCATTTTAGCACTTTGGACCCTTAAAAAAAATTAATATTAATTTGCACCATCAAAACAAAATAAATCATTTATAATATACTCTGAGCTGAATTTTTAAAATTTAACGGGGGCAAATCCATTTTTTACTGGGTTTCTTTTTATCATCAGGGTGCAAAGTAATAAATTAACTATTATTTTCTTCTACTTTCCAACATAATTTATGGCGTACAAATTGCGAAAATAAAGTCCTAGTGATTTACTTAAAAACTATATTTTCTCGCAAAAAATAAAAAAATGAACTTTTCATAATAAATTATTCGATTGATTGATCTTTTGTTGTAACTCTGAATAATATTTGGTGAAAATCTTTGTAAGAAATTATAATTTTTAAACAACTTGATAACAAAATAAATTAAGCAACTTTTTGTCCAAAGACGTTTTGATGATCGTTGAGCTAATTGTTAAGACTTTCTAGCTTAATGTTAAAAGAAAAGGGAAACATATATTTTAATTTTTATTTAAAAAAAAAAAGTATTTGATAGTTGTACAATTTATCTTAATATAAATATATTATTTTATATGGAGCATTCATCATCATATTATTCTTGATGCACCAAAATCAACCACTCCAACCCCCCTACTTCCTGGAGTGGAAACATGACCATAAAATAGCACCCACCAAACAACTACCCACCAAACCAACCCTAAATAGAACTTATTATTTACCTTCTCTTAATTATTATCATTAATCTAATCTAAACTAATTTTTTTTTTAATGAAGGAATCTACAATCAACTGCACTCGATAAACCTATACTTTGGTATTATAATAACGTAACTTGCAAATCATGCGAAAAACAAAAACTATATCATGCTAACCATGTGTGATAAGTTCGATCTAGCTGCAGCCGTTGGCAAAGAGATTGCAAATTGAATTATAACACGGAAAATGTTTGACGAAATAATAATAGATTTTCTTACAAGTTAGAACGAGTCATAAACAAAATGGAGCATATAAGTACACAGGTGTCGGAAAGTGGGCTTGAAACGCAATTTTCATAAGGGGGGGTAGCTTACCATCTAAAAATAGATATAGGGACTTTTCACACAGT